CAACCACGCGAGGCTTTCGCCAAGGGATTGCCAAACCACAAACGAAACGACGAACGAACGGAAAAAAATTATAGGACCCTACTCGAGAATACCTACGAGTGGTGGCTTGGCCCCCAAGTTAGTTTAGTGGTTAAAGGTATGTTGGTTTAGGACCACTCCTAGGTAGACACGAATAGGGTACAATCACAAATTTATCAACGATAAGATCAAACGAGTGTGAGCACAACAAAAAAAATTAGATCACAGTAGCAACGTAGATTTACAGCAATAAGCAATAGCGATAAAACATGAAACACCCTACGGGGGTTGGAGAAGGCCGAGGATTGAAGTGCACACTGGGTGCGAAGGCGAAGTCCTAGGTCCGGGAGTTGATATCCTAAGGGGTGTTGTCCGTGCGCCGTCGGGTCGTCGTCGTCCTACCTGTAGCAGAATCGGAAACCAATTAGAGATGGAATAGAGGGGACGTCGGGTCCTCCTCGCGGGTAAGTCGGCAGAAGAGTAAGAAGAAAAACCTGAACAGTACAGGAGTAAAGTCTTTTATAGGCGGAGACCCGCCGAAAATGTTTATTTCGACCCGTTTCTTGCGCCGGCCACCCATTGACCGTACCCAGAAGATCGAATGCGCTCTTTCCCTAACATCTGTTTTATGTTTAGTTTTGTTCTCATTGATCGAGCGTTGTTTTAAAAAGCGTACTAAATAAATAATAAACAAATGCTGTGTTTGGATGGGATAAAAAGAGTAAAAATTACTGTCATAGAGGAACAGCAGACCTGTATCAGGCACGCTGTCTATTATATAACACATTCGCTGACGGATAGCCAGATCCCTTTATTTGACCGTGAGGTGCACCTAAGGTCTCTGCTCCTTGATCACGGGTGACGGTAAACGGCAAAATCGCACTTCAGCATCCGGCCTTTGTGAGCGGCGGTCGCGGCGCGGTTTCGGCACTAGGGCATCATGGTCAACTATCGTCACCAGCGAGTAACATCTTAAGTTGACTACTATGAACTCAACATGGGAATATCACCACACTATACTCACAAAAGCATCGAATCTTGTTCTAGGTTGTCCGGAAAGTTCTCAGCGTTTTGAGTGTTTCACTTTAAACGATCATAACTTTCTTAATACTCATCGGATTTAATCGAAATAAGCACCGTTCGAATCAGCACACTTTTGCCAATGTGACACCAGTCGATAAATCCCATCAAAGGAAAAACTGGGTGGTCGAGAATCCACGAAATCCGAAGGCTTTTTTGCCTGGTCCTGATTGATGAAGTATTTTCCAGCAAGGAAGTTCTGAAAATGTTTGAAAAGGTGATAGTCGGTTGGTGAAAGGTCTGGAGAATATGGCGGGTGAGGTAGAACTTCAACCCCCAATTCGTTCAATTTATGGATAGTGATTTGTGAAACGTGTGGGCGGGCGTTGTCATGCAAAAGAATCGGACCCTTTCTGTTGACAAGTGCTGGCTGCAGCTGACGCAATTTTCGGTACATTTCGTCGATTTCTTCACAGTAGGACTCTGCTGTGATGGTTTGGCCTGGTGAAAAAAGTTATAGTGGATCACACCAGCCGATGACCACCACACTGTGACCATAATCTTTTTTCGTGAGGATTCGGCTTTGGAAATTGCCTCGGTGGTTCGTCGGCATCCAACCACTGTCCGGAACGTCTCCTGTTATCATACATGATCCACTTTTCATCACAGGTGACAATTCGGTCCAAAAACAGGTCGTTACTACGCCTAGCTTTTCTGCCATCTCTTGAACTGTTTGGGAATGGTGCCTCACAAACGCCTTCAAATCCTCGTCAGGTATTGCTTTAGGTCGACCGCTACGAGGTTCATCTTCAAGGCTGAAATCTCCAGAACGAAATTTGTCGAACCATTGTCGCACGGTGCTTTCTCCAACACTATTGGGCCCCCACACCTGGTTAATTTGTCGAGCTGTCTCGACTGCGGATTGACCCAATTTGTAGTTGAAGAAAAATATCGTCCGAAGTTGCTCTTTTGACATGCTTTAACACATTGAACGCCGCGTGAATTGTAGGCAATACACGCGCATACTCCCGTTTCTCGCGTTTGTGTATTGCCCACAATTCACGTTTTGTGGGTCGGTATTTTCGTGGATAATAGTGCGACTTGAACCATTCTCACCGAGTATATGTTCAGTGAGCTTTGCTTATGCTTAGTTCTTGATGGCGTGAAATAAGCTGCTCATTGAAGTAATTCATTAATATTACAAAATAACAGTCAGTAATTGAGTGTTATTTTAATTCTTATGATAGCTCCGCATCACTACAATGGTAGTAAGACTACTAGTGATAATTAGTGTTAATTTGCAATACATTTGATAGTGTTTAATTCATTATGATAACAATACTTATGTTGTCAAAACTGACGTTTAGATCTTCTGTTGTCCAAGATCCATCTATGCAGCTAAAAGAAGTCATCATTCAAATTGAACAATGTAGAAATGAGCGCAAAAGTAACCAGAATGAGCGTGTAAAGGGGCATGCGGCACAAAGACTCCCGTTTCGCGCGTTTGTGTATTGCACGCAATTCACGCGCGCGGAGACGCAGGAAGTGAAAACGGGAGTCGCCGCAAAAACGCCGCGGCGTTCAATGTGTTAAAAAGTCTTGGGAAAAGGGGGTTTATCAAGCAATGGTGAAACGGCAATTATACCATCAGATAGCGCAAAAATTCTCTTCAGGATGTACTACTGAGACGCAAGGGAGAATGAGTTTTTAATCAGCAATGAATGTACAAAAAATAGTAACACAAAACGCTGAGAACTTTCCGGACAACCTAATATAATAATGTTGATGATGTGGCGTTTCCCACTAAATTTCCGTTGAACTATAGGTAAAGTCCTGTAAGGAGGAACAAACGCCTTCTCATCATGTTTAGGCACCTCGCCCATCAACGTGGGGACATTTCCTCTAAAGTCTACCCGCTTCCTTAACTTTAAGCATTCTGCGCTCGAAATGGCTTCTTCAAGAGAGCAGTTGGAAACAGCTTCTGTACACTTCATCAATGTCGTAGCAATTCAATCAATTTTGCACGTTCATTTTGCGGGTCCTGCAATTACATGCCTTATTAGAATGTGGCATTTTGTGAGTTATACAGTGCTCCTTCAGCAATGCGAAGCATAGGGCACCTTTATACGCAACGCTTCTGACAAAGTACCCTATCTGGGGAAACGGTGGCAGGAGGTGTACGCATTGATTTATGCCTTGAACTTTCAACGGGTTGGTTCAGATAATTCCCGGTTGACTCAGTGGAGCCGTTCTGGTGAAGCATTTTGGCCAGCAGATTTGACCCCATCAAGTTGGTTGAGTATGGCGAGACTTTCTACATTCCTTAGTGATTGACATCTGAAAAGTGATTACACACACTGGAGATCAAAAGGGGCTCATTCGCTCTTGAATGGGTGATTATTTCGAATTGAAACATTTATTTTGCTTCCTTTATTTTGCTTCCTTTGCAATTTGTCAGGTGCGCGCCTGATTTTCGTTAATGCAAAATATAAGGTTGTCCGGAAAGTTCTCAGCGTTTTGTGTTACTATTTTTTGTACATTCATTGCTGATTAAAAACTCATTCTCCCTTGCGTCTCAGTAGTACATCCTGAAGAGAATTTTTGCGCTATCTGATGGTATAATTGCCGTTTCACCATTGCTTGATAAACCCCCTTTTCCCAAGACTTTTTGAAGCATGTCAAAAGAGCAACTTCGGACGATATTTTTCTTCAACTACAAATTGGGTCAATCCGCAGTCGAGACAGCTCGACAAATTAACCAGGTGTGGGGCCCAATAGTGTTGGAGAAAGCACCGTGCGACAATGGTTCGATTCGTTCTGGAGATTTCAGCCTTGAAGATGAACCTCGTAGCGGTCGACCTAAAGCAATACCTGACGAGGATTTGAAGGCGTTTGTGGAGGCTGACCCATCCCAAACAGTTCGAGAGATTGCAGAAAAGCTAGGCGTTGGCAAATCCACTGTTGCGGATGGTCTGAAACGCATTGGGAAGGTGAAAAAACTCGACAAGTGGGTGCCCCACAATTTGAGTGACCGGCAGAAATTGGCACGTCTCGAGGTTCCTTCTTCATGCTTTTGCGTAACAGAAACGACCCGTTTTTGGACCGAATTGTCACCTGTGATGAAAAGTGGATCATGTATGATAACAGGAGACGTTCCGGACAGTGGATGCCGACGAACCACCGAGGCAATTTCCAAAGCCGAATCCTCACGAAAAAAAGATTATGGTCACAGTGTGGTGGTCATCGGCTGGTGTGATCCACTATAACTTTTTGTCACCAGGCCAAACCATCACAGCAGAGTCCTACTGTGAAGAAAACGAAATGTACCGAAAATTGCGTCAGCTGCAGCCAGCACTTGTCAACAGAAAGGGTCCGATTCTTTTGCATGACAACGCCCGCCCACACGTTTCACAAATCACTATCCATAAATTGAACGAATTGGGGGTTGAAGTTCTACCTCACCCGCCATATTCTCCAGACCTTTCACCAACCGACTATCACCTTTTCAAACATTTTCAGAACTTCCTTGCTGGAAAATACTTCATCAATCAGGACCAGGCAAAAAGCCTTCGTGGATTCTCGACCACCCAGTTTTTTCTTTGATGGGATTTATCGACTGTGTCACATTGGCAAAAGTGTGCTGATTCGAATGGTGCTTATTTCGATTAAATCCGATGAGTATTAAAAAGTTATGATCGTTTAAAGTGAAACACTCAAAACGCTGAGAACTTTCCGGACAACCTAATACGAGCGCTTTCATACTTCGTGGTTGTGCGATCGTATGAGCGCGCGCAGTTCTTCAGGGTAATCGTGCCGGGACCGCGCGCCGGATGCTCAAGTGCGATTTTCCCGTTTACCTTACGCCCTTGATCACTGTTGCAGCTGGCCGATAAGAGCTTGTAGTTGTGATTAGTTTCATAGATTAAGTATTTCAATCCTAATTTACACAGTTTAACTGCGTCTTGCGACTAGTTTTTAGGCGAGACAAACTGGTTCTTGAGAACAAGAAACTTTACGCCCGTATTAGTGAACTGGAATGTGCGCTTAAGAAGACAACTGATGACAAGCAGTCGTTGTATGATGAATGGATTGCGCTTTCGGTACGAGACTGCAGAATATTCATTAAGTTTTGAAATACCTGGCCATCATTCTCTATTCATTTGGCCCTTAAGGCACTGCTTGAGACGAAAACAAGCGAGATGTTGCAATTGCAACAGGAAAGATTGGTGCTGATCAACAAAATTCGCGATCTCAATGAACAACATGCTAATCTTTTCAACACGGAGGTTGACCTTCAACAAGAGTGGGTTCGGTTTTTTTGATTTACAACATTTCAAGAGTCGCTTCTTGATGGAAGTTCTTTCAACAGCGTTGTAGGCGGCAGCAGCGAAGAATACGTGAAGAAATAGCACGAGCTTGCGAGGACAGTTCTAGAGATGATAAAGTGTGAGTTTCTTTTTCCTCCAGCTCTCACTTTCTGTCATCATTTTCGAGACTATAAAAAATGTTGGTTTTGAGATTCCAACGATACTTCGCCTCGTCTTTCTCTTTGGGAATGTTCCCGCGCGCTCATACAGATCCCGGCAATTTGGCGCTTTATCTCCTAAGTGGTATTCAATTGCTGAAGGGTGGGCAGACTGACAAGCAGCGGCGATCGTGTAAAAGGGAAATGCCATCGAAACATCCATGCCCGAAATGAAGTTGAGTTGCGAAATGAGATGACAGTTTGGTTACACACAGGCCGCTTTGCTCTTTGTCAAAGACAACTTTTGCGATCAAGTGATCCGTGAACTGTCTCCGTGCATTTGATCGGCAGGTCCACATTTGCAATGTGTACCACTTTCGTCACATAAACGTGCGAGCGGTCAGAAGCGCTCCCGGAACAAGCAAGTGGTAGCAGTCTCAGGATATTTGTCAACCGCAGATCCTCCCTCCTCTTTCCCTTTTTCTTTCTCCTTCCTTCTTTTCCTTCCCTCCTTCTCTCCTCCCTCCTCCCTTTCCTTCTCTCTTCAACTGCTGGACCAGTAGATGGGATGAAAGAATACCTCTGGCCCTCATAGATGTCCGTCACTCCACTTTGCAAGACAGTATGCTTTTTAGCGCCTTAAATTTAGCAGCAATGCAATTGCAGTGAGGCAAATGTTCGTCCATTGCTTACTACGTTTTAATTTCGTACACAGTGTCTTCGGGAACTATTTTTTGTTACGAGTTTTGCTCGAGTACAGTTTTTTTTCTCTTTTATATTATTGTATGGCCTCAAGTACTGGAAAGGGCGAAGGTGCAATTTGTGAGCCAGGGGTTGCGAGCGGGACAGCCTTAAAGACAGCCCCCGCTCCCAAGTAGTACCTTCCTTGTGCAAGTAGTGCAGCCCCCAAGCTAGAGACTACTCTCGCGACTCCACAGCGAGCGAGGAGCGAGCTACAGCCGCTGAAAGTTCTAGTTCTAACGCCCGCTCAGTTGGACCGCCCACTTGCTAGATGCCCTCTGACGGAGGGCCGCTCAGTTGTTCTTTGTTGGGAACGGGGGGCATTAATCGGAAGTGTCTTCTTTGCTGACAGAAGAACTTAAATGCCAAACGAACATTTCACATCAGCGACTGGCGAACAGTCGCGTCGCGGTCATTGCGCTGGAGCGCTTTGAATGTGGCGGGAGCAGCTGAGTGCTCCTTTGTTGAAACATGCAGTGTTTGATATTTTTAAAGGTGAATGAGTAGTCTCAAATATGTTCCTTTCTCCGTTCGCAGACCGTTCATGGAGTCACTTAGACATGAGATACAATCATAGACCACTCACGTAGCTATTATAAGAAGCGTACACGGATTTTACAGCCCCTGTCGTACGGAACCTCATGTCGGTTTTTTTCTGAGTTTTTAGGAATTCTTCATGAGCTTAAACATTTCGAAGACGTAAATCTAGTGCGACAGGGTTAATGAGTACTTCAGAAGGGTGAAGTGCTGACAAAGGAGGTGCGTGGTAGTTCACCTTAGTACTGAAGGCAAAGATGACGACGAAATATATCTTTATCTCTATGTGATAACAAGAATCCTAGAAACACCAATGCTAGAGCAAGTGAGTGGGTACAATAGGATTACTGTTCAACATCGGTGCATTTTAAGTATGTACAAGCTCCAGGAAATCAGTATTGTGTTGTAACACAGACATTCGTGATGTGGCGCCCTAAACGAGTTCGGGTGTGATCGCAATTTCCTTAAATTCGAGGATAAACTGATCGTTACGGTTAACAACGTGGTATAGAAGTGTCTGTGGGAGGAACTTCCGAGATTCTGACGGAAACTAGATCTGAAGTATGTTTCAGGGTTTCATAACTCTAGGGTATAACTAATTGCATCATTCCTCCAAATCAAGTGATGTTCTCATTCCTTACGAATGTCTCGTGCAACCCAATCGCGAAGATAACGCGCCCCAGCGCAATGACCGCGACGCGACCGTTCGCCCCATCGCTGATGTGAAATGTTCGTTTGGCATTTAAAGGCAGCGTCCGCGATCAACCAAAGTGAAAAAACCCTCCAATGAAAACGAACGCGGAGTACGCAACCACAGCGGATATCCCACTCTTGCGGCTCGAAATCGATTGGTTGACGAGGGCGGAGTCAACAAGGCTGAGCTGACGCCTCCTTCCCTGTTAATCCCGCCCCGACTGGTTAACAGTTATCAGTGCTTGCTGGCATTGATAAACGCTAAGTTTCTGGAGTTCCGAGGCGGCGACGTGTATTGGAGAACTCACCAAAGGTCTGCGAAACTCGTCCACATGCCTTAAATTTCGTAGGGTCTTATTTCACGCTCTTCCACACCTTTTTCCTACTTTTTTTGATTAGTGCTTCATTGGCCACCTGTTCTAACAAATTTGACCCCTGAAACCTGCCAAAGTCCATCGCGGGCGCTGTCTTTAAGTTCTTCTTTTGTTGACCGCGCTAGTGTAAATAGGTAATTCTTTCCTCCTTTATTACATTTGCTCATTAGGAGCACTTCTAGTCAGGTGCTAAGGTATTTGGGGGAGACCAAGCGGCTCGCGGGCGCGATGATTCATCTGTCTCCTGCTCCCCTGTCAGCGAAATAAAGGTAATTCCATGTTTAGAACATGAATATAACACCGCCTAGGCTTTATATAGAAGGCAAAACAGTTAACGCTGAAAAGTGCGAAGAAACAATTGTAGGTCGCAAGATTTTGCCTGAGCCTACAAGGGAAGGAATTCTGGCCTAGATGAACCCATCCTTTGTGTAAAAGTGACAATCAGCCAGTCCGCAGAATGTAAGAAAGAATCCAGTGCAATAGCTAGATTGCAGTACCTATCAAATCGTAGAAATCGAACCCTGAGCAGTTTCCTCAACAATAAAATTACAAGACAATTCACCTCACCAACTCTCTTCACCTTCCCATTTGAAGTCCATCTGTTTCCCGCTTCAAATATGACAGGAACCATCTGTGCGCTGTTTCAAGACACATTCCCGGCGGATCTTTTTTGCTTTATTCTTATTTGCCTGCTAGTTTCGCGCTTTTACTATGCCGGGAACCATCTATGGGCTGTTTCGAGTACTATCTCGCCGAGGAAGGAACGGAAAAGCAAATGAGCATTGCTCGCCGTGAGCCGCGTGATCCTTCCCACAATACGTTGGCGCCTTCAGTCAGATGCAACCCATCTTGCAAGGTAAAACGCGTAAAGAATCATGAGTAATACAATTTTTGTTGTGCAAAAGCTCGAGACGCACTAAAAGATGCACGCTACCGTAACCCTAAATTCGGAGGCCGAGTTTTTGGTTTTTTTTGTCAAGAGTTTTTCGTTCGTGTTTTTTGTTGTTTTTCGTATTCTTTTTTTTTGCATTGGATGATATCTACTACTGGGAGATGCGAAAAAGCGATTTGTGAGCCAGGGGTTGCACACGGACCGCAGGGCGGTGTGACTGTCAGGGAGCAATTTTGTTTGTGGTGTTCTTGAAAACTTTCCTTGCTTTTTTTCTTTTGGGGAATTACTTATCAGCTACTGTTTCATAATGAACAGCAACTATCCATGACACTTTATCGCGGGAACTGTCTTTAAGCAGGTGAGAGTAACAATATATATATATATAAAGTGGATAACTATTATATATATATATATATATATATATATATATATATATATATATATATATATATATATATATATATATATATATATATATATATATATATATATATATATATATATATATATATATATATATATATATATATATATATATATATATATATATATATATATATATATAT